TAAATCTTTGTTTTTATCAAGATCACAAAGATCCTAATTTGGAGCTTAACAGACCTCTATTTTTTTAACTGCACATAACTTCAAAGAAGCTGAAACATTTTGCTTCCCCTCCACTTGCAGGCGATATACAAATTGGAATGGAGGATAAAAAGGGCCAATTAGAAGTTGAAGTGATTAGAGCACGAAGCCTCACGCAAAAACCTGGCTCCAAATCTACACCTGGTAAGGGAAGGGGTTTGGACCAGAAAATATCACGCGGGCAAAAAACTCAAAACACCTGCTGCATTGAAGTTTATATGCTGGGTTTTTTTTTTATCATCTGATTGATTAAAAGGCAGCTTTTCTGTGTTTTTTGAGACTATAAAAATGAATCTTTGCACAATTATTCTGTCAGAAAGTATTAGGAATAATATTGTCATATTAGGAAAAGTTCAGTTATGATTGTTTCTTAGCTTATGTTTCTTAGCTTCAATTAGTTTTTTGGTACATTTAGAAATGCAAAAGGAAAAAGTTTTGTTGTAATACAAGGAAACAATGAGCTTTAAGATATAAACCTGAATTGTAATTCCAGATGTACCCCAAGTAAGTCAAAGTCTTAAGGTAACTTGCATACATTTATTTGAAATTATGAAACTGGCTGTAGTGATAACATATGGGAGTGAAGGAGTAGAATTTCTGAAACACTTTAAATTGTAAAAAATTTAAATAGTCAATGGAAAACTTCCTGTAAGCATCTCTAAATCCCTAGTAAGGCATTTTCTAGTATAACCAATTTAATGTAAAGGATTAACTTCTCATGCATTAATGTTACCTTTGTTTAGCTCCATATGTCAAGGTATATCTTTTGGAAAATGGGGCCTGTATAGCCAAGAAGAAGACAAGAATTGCACGGAAAACCCTTGATCCTTTGTATCAACAGTCCCTGGTGTTTGATGAAAGCCCGCAGGGTAAAGTTCTTCAGGTGAGTAATAGCTCCTGTGACTTTTTCCATTGAAAATTCACATTATCCCTGTAGACACCGAGAGGTGATCAAACAGGAAGAGACTCAAGTTCAGTGGAGAGGAATGTGGTATAACATTCTCCCGTAGAGAAAAATAGCAAGTCGCTGTTGGCTGTGAAATTAATGTATTAAAATACATATGGGTTTAAGGGACTTTAATAAAATTAAACTTTTTCTTTTTTCTCTACCTTCTTTTCTTTCTTCTCTATCCTCTCCTCTACTTTTGCCCTATTTGTCACCCCTTGCCTCATCTTGATAGCTAGATGTAGATGATGATGATAGATATCAAGGCAAATGATGCCAGTAATAGTTTATTGAGCATTATTATCTACAGACATGAGACACAATGAAGAAGAAAGGAAAGGAAAACAGAAGTGTTCAGGGACCAGCAAATATTCAGGACTGGCTGAATGTCAGGTGCATTGCTTATTAGAGAGTGGTTACTAAAGAAGGTGTTGAATTTATATGTAAATGAAATTGTATATGTATTTCTTTAACAAGGTTTATGTATGTAATACCCCTCATTGACTAGGAAAACATTACCTGCCTTCCATTGAATCCAAAACATATTGTGAAGTGTCTTTCTGAGCACCTTCATGTTAGTATCTTCTTACCTAGTTTTCCTCCGTGGTGTTGGTTATATTCATTTCCTCTCCTTAGCTGACTGGCCCCTTTTACAGAATAGTTGCTTTCAACTCTCCTAAGGTACAACTCTAGAGAGGAGTTTAAGTGTATTGTCTTTCTCTGTCTCTGCAGGTGATCGTCTGGGGAGACTATGGAAGAATGGACCATAAATGCTTTATGGGGGTGGCCCAGATCTTATTGGAAGAACTTGATCTGTCCAGTATGGTAATCGGATGGTACAAATTGTTCCCACCGTCATCGTTGGTGGATCCCACACTCACTCCCCTAACCCGCCGGGCTTCCCAATCATCTCTGGAAAGTTCAACTGGGCCTCCCTGCATTCGATCGTAGTGAACTCATACTAGAGTCATTCCAATAAAGCTCAACCTTTCAGGATAATAATCGGAACCAGATATTTCATGATCAAAAGCATTGTTGGAGACAGACAATCAACTTGTGCTTTGCCTGTAGTAGTTTTTCAATAATGTGTCCCAACTGTTGTTTCAAATCTGGCTTCATATGACAGAACAAGGCAGTGTATCAGATTACAATAAGAGCCAACAAGCTAGTGAGAACCACTGATGCTTCTAAAACACAGAAAAAGAAGAAACTTCAAATTTACACACACACACATACACACACACGCATGCACCCACGCAGACACACACATATGCCCACACGCACGCACCCCAAATTGAACAAACTGGAAACTCTCGCTCTGTGATAAGTTGTATTTTACACGTTTTTACACAGACCACGAGCAGTGTTATTTCCCTGGTGTTCGACAAGTTTTGTTCTTTCGTGTTTTGTTTCTGTGTGTGTCACTTGTTGCTTTGGGATTTGTTTTGTTTCGTTTTTTACTGAGTTATTTACACTGGTTCTCGGCTGTGTCATGACAGGCCCCGTGATGCTTACAGAGACCCTTCCTTTCTTTTTCCAAACTCGCCACAAAAAGGGCTGAAGCAGCCTCTGTAGCATCTCCCCTGCGTGTTCCACAGCTGAACAAGGCGCGGCCCCTGAAGGGCTCCACTGGCTTTCATGCTCTCATTCTTCAGTCTGATGTGTGGAAACCCAGAAAACAAAAAAAGTTACCTTCCAAAAAAATAATCCCCGAATCACCATGTTTAATGGAGAGCACATCTGTTCACATTCTAAAAATATTACTTTCTTTTCCATTGTTCTGCATGGAAGACTTTTACAGAAGTCAATCTGCAACTAATGCTGGGAACTAAAATTAACTGCATAATCGTACCTGGGAAACACTCCTTGTAATGCCTTTTTCTTCCCGATATAAAAAAAAAGTATATGCTCATGTGTATAAACCACACTTTTGACTTCAAATGGTGATTAAAGTGGATTTGGACCTAAGACACTGTGGGCTACGCCCGGGCTTCTCGGCCGTGCCTCAGTGCAGACACACCCGTCCACCCGGAAAGAGCATGGTATGAGCTGCTCAGTATCTCACTGGAAATTCCAGTTGAACTATTCTGCACTAAACTAATGTTTTTATCGAATTTTAGTTTACATTTCTTTGAGATCGATGCAAGCACAAAGCTCATTTTTGGGTTTTTTTTAATGCAAAGTATCTTACTTTTTGGGGGGAGATAAAACAAAGTCAAATTTCAATGTGCATTTTCTTCATCTGAGTTTTTCTTGGCCTTGACTTTCCCTTGTGGCATTCTGTGTGTGCGTTCCATCCTGCAGACCCTGCAGGTGCATTGACATGTTCTCCTCCTTTTATGAGTCATTCAACTTTTGTGACTACACAGATAGAGCAGCATGACTTGGAACTGTTCAACGCTGCATGCACATTTTGTAAAATAAAATAAAATAATAAAAAAAATGAAAGAGAAAAGACACAAAAGGCTATTTAATAATGTATGTTAGTTCCACATAGGCCCGCTTGTATGTTGCATGTACTTGTACATTTTGCTCGTTAATTACTATACTGAAATAACCAAGAAATCTAAGCCATCCGTTTTTGTTATAGGCATTTTGCAGGTTTCTGCCAGACTCGATCTGTGAGCCTGGGGTGAAATGTCTATAGATGGACTTTATTTTTTACCCTCTGGAAAACGTGATGTAGTATGGACCAAATTCCTTCTAATAAATATTTTGGTGTAGATTCTAACTGTGGGGCTGTAACACATGTAGACACTGTGTACACACTAGGTTTTAATCCATAGACATACTGCCTGCACCAAGTGAATTCTTTACCATTATTTACACACGCCAGAATCACCTGCCCATCATTCCACAGGGCACAGACTGACCACTACTCACCATGCTGAGCAGGAAGAACTGAAGCATTGGTGCACTTCTACTAGACTCCGTTCTGTCTTAGTGGCCAACAATCAACTATAATTGGGTAGTATCTTTCTATTTTGACCACTTGTCTTAAACACTCCCCTGTGCTTTTAAATGAACTTCCAACTCATGTATGTAAACATGTTTAATAAAATTTACTTTTCATGTCTGTCGGTAGCCATCTGTGTTCTATGTTTTGCCCAGATATCCACTGTGGGTTCTATGGTGCAAAATGGGAGCCAGATCATGGGAAGGGGAGGTTGGGATTTGTTGTCTGCTGCGGGCATTTGACTTGACTTGTCACTGCACTATCTATGTCTTAATCTATGGCCCAAAGGGTACTTTGCATCACGTACAAGTTTTCACTTTGTCAGCCTGTCTAAGTGAGCACATGACTATACTTCTGAAAAGTGGCATTATTAAAGAACAATAAATCTCATGAAAATAAAATGGAAGGTTGTTTTTCTGCTGCTGTTTGGGTGTGCTAATACAAGAGACAACTCTGTTGTCCAATTGCCAAATCATCTCACATAATGCGACATATCAAAATGTCAATTCCTGCGTCCCTCGTCAAAGCATCTGGGTCCTCTCTCCGTCTTTCTCTTCCAAACCCCTAATGGATTTGTAAAACCTTGCCTTAGTGTAGGCTGACTTAACCAAGAAATATATTAAATCCTCTTCAATCGAACCTTAGGAAATATATTTTCCAATATAGTAGAGTCTCTAAAAGTGACATGATAAAAGAGAAATTATTAGCTTTCTTAACTTAATTTCATGAAATTTTTTTTCTCCAATAGTGTGTTTACAGATTTCACAATCAGCATTTTCACACTGAAGCACTGATCCCACGTTGTTTGGTAGTAAAATAACTGTTGAGATCTACTTTTCCCCTTTTAAGGGCCCTTACATGTGTAAAGTAAAATAAACATAGCTGACTCAGTGCCAAATTTGAGACTATAAAGCAATTTGAAACATGTCACTACATCAGTTATTTCAAGTTTTTTAAACAAGTTGAGTAAATCTTACCCTATTGAACCAATCAGTTGTTTGGTCTACAGGACCTGAAATTATCTGTTAGGCTGGGTCAACAAGAGACTAAAACAATTGATGGATTCCGTTGACAGCCAGCTGTCAGAGTGAAGCTGTTTAGTGCACAGGCAGCGAGAGAGCACGTGTGTGTGTGTGTGTGTGTGTGTGTGTGCGGGGGGGGGGCAGGGAGGGGCGGGTAGTCTGCCATTAAAATAGGCAACTGAATGTGGCTCCTTATTTTCTAGACAGAAAAACAAAAGTCTATCAAGTCAGACACATCTGCACAGCATTATGACTTCAGGGCCTGCAATGAAGAGAAGTAACCAGAGGAGAAGCGATTTTGCTAAGTCTTCATGGTTTCTTGTTGAACCTGACAACCTACTTTCTGGAAATTCCAGCCAGAGATATTATCTGATTTTACTTAACTAACAGCATTAAGGGCTTTGTTGGGTGCTAGACATTAAGCACTTGGGATATAAAAATGAAAAGAAAAAAGACCTAACTAAGAGCATTAAGGGCTTTGTTGGGTACTAGATATTAAGCACTTGGGACAAAAAGAAAAAGGAAAAAACAAAAACAAAAAACCTTACCCTGTCTTAAAGGAGCACTCTGTCTATGAAGAGAGATCATTGCATTAAAAAAATTGCAATTACATACATTTTACTAGTGTACAAAGGGCTACAGGATTGTGTTTAATTCTCATAATAGCCCTATGTGTTAAATTCTCTTATGGCCCCTATTTCTCATAAAGGATCTGCAGCTTGAAGCGCTAAGCAAGAGGCCAAAGGTCACAATGCAGTTGGGGATGGAGCTGGGGTATGAACTGAGGTCTGGAGGACTCTGAGCCTATATCTTCAAGATGAGCTATATCTTCAAGAACAAAGAGCCCACCAGATGGGAAAGCCCTCTAACCCAACCATCCTCCGCCTGAAGCAGCCCTCGGCCTGCATGGTTTCCCAAGCACCTGTGCTATTACGGGGGAGGTGCCGGAATAGGGACATGAGGCAGGTGAACTCTTTTCCAACCACTAAAATGTCTACAGTTGTTCTCCACTGACTCTCTCTCCGTGTGTCCTCCTCTGCTGCAGTCACTCTTGGCACTATCAAACCTCGAGTACATCCTATGCAGGTTTCAGGAAGAGAAATGAATCAAGGATGCAGAACAAAGTGAGATCTTCAGCCAAACCCAGACTTATCCTTTGGTTTCCAGGAAAAATCACCATCTGAGTACCCGTACCCTACTTCTTGCCCCCAGTCCCAGTGCAAGAGTGTTCCTCAGTTCTGCATCCTCACAAAAATCTGCATCTTGGAGTTGAACTGATACACCTTGACTCCCAGCCCCATGGAGTTTCTCGGCCCTCCCAGAGTCAGTCCCTACGCCTCTCAGGTGTCTGCTTCCAAAAGAGATTCCATTGCCTTATCCCTCCTTGTAAACATTTGTCACAATTCTACTTGGCTCACTTTGGTTATATACCATTGGGGCTTGCCCCTACCCCTCCAGTGGGATCTGGCCAATGTGTATGCATGAATAACAGTTGCTCTACCACAATCACTTCATAAAGGACCTACATCTAAGAAAGAAGGAGGCACAGAATAAAAATAAAAATAAAAATATAAATATAAATATAAATATACCAAAACTAAACAGCACTCAGAATGGCCATAAATGAAGTCCCTGCCTTTGATATGTGTACCAGTACACATTCTACAATGACAAGACAATGGGCAAGACAAAGTCCGGAAAAGGGAAATGTAGAAAATTCTTGTGTCTTAGTTGGAAAAATGGGTACCTCCATATGAGTCAACAGGGCCATTGCCCTCCCTACACACACCTACACACACACAAACACACACACACACGAATGTAAGCTCCACGATAGCAGAAAACCTGTCATGGTTTTTTGGACTCATATGTGTTTTGTTATCTCTTCATTCCTCTAGATTTTCCAAGTTCTACCAACACATAAAGTAAAATCACCAGAGAATACACGCCCAGTCACATTGACTTATTCCTGCCATCACGCTCACTCCATGTAAAATCACCACATTTGTCTATAATGTTTTGCCTTTGGTTTTTATTGAATATTAACTAAAAATTCTTCTTGCCTAGCTGGTGTGGTTCAGTGGTTGAGTGTCGGCCTATGAACCAGAAAGTCAAGTCACAGTTCAATTCCCAGTCAGGGCACATGCCTAGGTGCGGGCTCAATCCCCAGTGTGGGGCATGCAGGAGGCAACTGATCAATGACTCTTAATGAGCTCGGTCTCAGAACGAATTAAACTCATAAGTCAAGGCCCCACTGTGTGTGTGTGTGTGTGTGTGTGTGTGTGTGTATGTATTTAATTCTTCTTACATTAGCTATATATTTTTGTCAGATATTTTCCAATATATCACTCAGGATTTTTCTTTTTTCAAATAGATGTACATGATGCTTTCGTTTGTGTGCTCAACAGTTGATCACTTAGTGTCTGAAAAATGTTTTCTTCTATAGACTTGCACCTTCTTCCACCACTGGGTTCTTAGCCTTTTATCCAATTGGGACCCTTATGGTGCCTGGTAAAGCCTTTAGACTCCTTCTCAGAATAATGTTAAACTCATTTAAAAAGTACATAGAGTTAGAAAAAACAACTATATTAAAAAAATTTAAAACATTTTAAAAACAAATTTGTGATGGGTTCATACATATATATGACTTCTTTACTGTAGGACTAAATAAAATAGTGAAAGACCCAGTAACTACTGTATTTTTGAAGTGATGATGAGCAAAAATAATAATTCAAGTTATCTGCAGCAACTCTAGTGTGTTATAAAAATATCTGTAAATTTTATTGATAATGATGTCACAGCTACTATTATGCTATTGTGGTTTGTTGCCTACAGTGATAGTGGAAAGATGCCCAATTTTCAACTAGAGGTAAGAAAAAAGTAAAGGGGCATTTCTTTTCTTCTCATCCAAGTTCATGGACCTCCTAAATTTCTTCCTGGGACCACTATAGGAGTAACATAACCCAGTATGTGGTCTCAATATACCCTGGCTATTCAGAGCACTGCTCCACAATTACATTCCAATATCAACTATGGTGGAGCTCATGGCTAATGCATTTTTTCTCTCTTTATGCCTTTTTCCAATCCTGTTATAATAAAGTGGGTGGATGAAATTATTTGTAAATCCTTTTGAAATAATTCAAAGAAAAAATGACCTAAACTAGCATTTCAGTGCCTGGAACATAGAATGTGTACAAAAAACAAGATGGTAAAACGAATGAGTGGCAGAAAGAGTGAGAACTAACTCTACATTCTCCTAGATCACTGTTTTTCAGTCTATTAGAACTTGATCTCTTTTTGATAAACATAAAAATTTCACCTCCTACTCCTAACATGGCTATGGTTATAAATGCTCAAGGGGTCTATAGCTCTTCCTTCAGATAAGAGACAAAGTTAAGTTCTATACTTTTTAGTTGCCTGTAGCCAACATTTGTCTTGAATGCAATTCTCCATCTTGTAGTCCGAAAACAAGGCTTTGGTTTGGTCTGCTTTTGTTTTTCCTTTCTTTAAATGTATTATCATATCAAAAATGGTGCTTTGATTTCTCAACCTATGCATACCAATATGGAAATGTCTGCCCTGGGAAAGTAGCTCATTAAAATTGCAAGTATAACCCATATGAAACGGGCCCTGCTCTCGGGTGATGCCCCAGTTGGTGGATCTGACTTTCAGTAGAAAGGTGGGAGGGCCCAGGCCTGGAAAGCAGTGTCCAGGTGACGCTGGTTATGGCTTTCAGCCACTTAGATGTCTGCTCCATTTAATGAAGATCGGTAAGTTGAATCCCCTGGAGCAATGTTCTAAGAATTCTTTTCTTACCCTTTAAAAACTTGTTTCTCTTGAAGACACATTTTCAAATAATGCTCCAGAAAACTGCGGAGCAGTCTTGTCTCTAGATATTGGTAGAAAAGGTAGAAGGTTCCAGAACTTTCAAAACTCCAGCCAGAGCTCTGAGCTGTAACTTGATTGGCTGGGAAGAGGAATGGGACACAGGGCAGGCAGGAAAGTCCCACTGTCCTGAGCCGTTAGATGGAGGAAAAGAAAGCATGATTCCCTTAATTTAATAGCAGCCACTCACCAAATATGACTCTACTAAGCTATGTAAATTGCTTCCTAGAAAGTATGCCATGAAAACCCTGACTGGGTGGGAATTAAAAAAGAATCAGAAATTCAAAATAGTCTGTCTTCACCTCCAGGGAGGCTGTGCAATATTTGTGCATTTCCACCGCATTAATAACACGCAAACAGAGGTTGTATTATATGGTTCTTCTCAATCTAAATATTCCGTTTCAAACCTCACCCTGCCATACTAGCTCAATGCCAAAAACTCAAAATTATAAACAAGGGTTCCCGGGAGAGGCCTCAATCCCTGCCCTCTGTTG